GTGTATAAGATATCCGTTTTTGTGTTGTTTTTTCATTATGACTACCAACGTGCAAACAAAGGATAGTGCCAGGAAGGTGATTTTTCTTACGTGAAACATGTGTTTATAAAATGAGGGTTGCGTTAAGTCATATAAACATGTAGAGGTGCGCAAGGCAGACTCTTGAAAAAGTCTCATAGAAGAATGCCGACGAAGAAACCGCGGAAGAAATGGTTCAGTTATTTATATAGGTGACTTAGAGCGTTACCGCGCTTTGAAATCCAACCTTTGTAGCATATTTGGCAGCTAGAGGACCAGTACTGATGAAAAAACACTCCTGAAGATGTCCCGAAATAGACATAGTGAGTATTGAAAATGAATGAACTAATAAATGACATTGTGCATTAGGAACTATTGATTACATACAAAAGAAAAATAAGTTTCTAACTTTTCTAACGTCGCTTCTCCTTACATTTGCATAATGGAGCTGTTTTTAGCATCTTTTTTTCAGGAAGGTAGTGCTAGTGTAACTGATTTACGTTTCCATGCAATCAGCTAGGAGTGTCTCATTTTAAACCAGGACGGATAGCATTTATGAGGCAAGCTTAGTGTATAGTCTCCTGTTCTTTCCCAACTTCTTATAGGGAGGTACTCGTTTATGAGGCTCGGAACGAAGAAGCGAGTTACCCGACCGGATCTTGAACTCGGTTCCTCCCCGTTCTGAGTCCGACGTTCTGTTGACTGAGCAACCCTGGTCGTTAATTAAAATACGGATTTTTTCTCTAAACGCTGGATGTTATTGTATGTGATAATTCAGAAAGGCAAAAATTCGTTATGGGATGACTTGTATAGTAAGTTATTTTATTATATGCGAAGCGTGGGTTGTCATTTCGTTACAGAATTTTGCCATTCTATTGATATCCCCGCGACTGTCAAAAATCGACATGTTTTTCCAAACAAGATTTATAATCCTGTTTGTATAACCAAAACTTCCTGAATTTTTTTTAACTTGAAACTCACTGATAGCGTAAAAAGCAAGCCAGAATTTAGATTATTCAGCAACAGAGATTCATTCATGTCCGTAAGATTTTTTCATTGTACCCGCGTTTATTGATCTGCATGGAGCGTAGACATTTCAGTCACAACAGCACAGATTGAGGTGTCTCTTCCAACCACTACTGTAATTATCATTCACCCTATCAAAATTAGGGTCCTAGCACTAGCAGATTGCAGGGTCTGTCGATCACGAGATTAAACAGGTCTCAATCAATAGACTTGTCCGAGCAACTGCTTCGTTCATGTGCTTCACGGTATGGCTCTGAATCGCTGACGCCGAGTTGATACCAGAACTTCATTGCGAATGTGGCTGTCGCTTGACCAGAATCATTTGCATCACTTGGTCTGAATGTCAAATCTTTTTGAATTACACTGTAATATTTTAGTTTTTTGGAACTCACTGGATAATATTAATACTAATAATCATAAATGTTTTGAAATGAGGTCGAGCTTGTACTATATGTAGCTGATAGAAAAACTACTAATAAACTGCCTGAACGTTGATGTTTTGGATGCAGCCAGAATGATTCGAAAAATCATCGGTACGACAAATTTGTGGAAGGTCGCAAATGGCTGACTATGCATAGCCCTTGGCAAATCTAGACACCTCAACAGCGGTCTATGGGTAACGTTCTGCAAGTACAATGTTTCATCGAATAATGAATGAAGAGATCTTGGAGATGACCGACTTGAGAATGCTGCTTGAAGAAATCCGAGAACGGCGTCTATCGTGGTTTGACAGAACCATTCAGAGAGAATGGAAACTTATCCAAAATCATTCTCCTCTGGGAATCAAAAAAAACAACAGTAGACGTGTCAGAGGCTAACATTGCACCCTAAGGCAGCTGCCAGAGATAGAGCTGCGTGCGACGAGGAATATGACCTTTACCGCAGCAACCAACATCGTTTAAATCGTTCTGAGAAACGAAAGCGTCATACGTAGGTCTAGGTACTCGGTCTTTGACCCTGATACTTCAGATGATGTTGACAACTACAAGCCCTTGGCTGCTGATCGAACAATTATTGTATGGAAGAATATGATAAAACTTCACATAGGTTCGAAATAAACCGTCTTGTTACAAGGAAAAGCGTAAGATTTTGAAGTTGTGCATATTTTCATAATTGTGAAGCACATTGCCACATCAAATATCAATCATCAGTCTGTCACTGTTGTTCTCTCTCGGTCCTGTGTTATTTCTTCTTTCATTGAATTACAGGGATATTTTTATGGCTGATTTGTATTACACCTTTCGTTATATCACTGATCATGATAGAGCATTAGTTACTAATTTCTGGTATACTCCGAATAATTTAAGCAGGAAGGTATATTTGATTGAAGAAAATGTCACAAAAGATATATTATATATAGTTATAATATAACTAATTATTTTGTTTAAATGTTATTTTAACATGTACAGTCGTTTCTTTTAATTTAAAGTTCTGCTTTTTTCTGAAAAGTAAAATTATTTATTGAAGTCATTTAAATTGCATTTTTTGTTTGAC